AGAGAAAACAAGAATGTCAAAAATGGTGTTTGTAGACTGGGACGACCAACACTCTTTTTACAAAGTGCTCTCAGACCCGAATGGACACGGAGAGAAAACAAGAATGTCAAAAATGGTGTTTGTAGACTGGGACGACCAACACTCTTTTTACAGAGTGCTCTCAGACCTGAATGGACACGGATGTGTCCTTTCAGATATGAAACTCTTCAGAACAGCGCACCTGTTCAAAGAGACACAAGGAGGAAGACGAGACACAAAAAGAAAACATTTTAATTTGAAATTAAATTCAAAACTGAAAAAGACTTAATTTAAAAAGAAAATGTATAATTCGGTTAAAACAAAATGATCTAATGCATCGTGCGTACACACAGCCGCACCCTCGCCCACGCCCTGACCCGGCTCGGCTCAGCATGCACATGTGAAAAGCATCCCCACCCCCCTTCACATGAATGGAATATCTATAGTGATATCCTCCCATGGGAGAGAGCAAAGCTACAAATATACTCAACTTCACTCCTTTTCCAAACAATGTGGGACAAAAAGTCTTCCTATGCACTCAAGGGTGTGAAGAGGAAAAGACAAAAAACAAGAGAGGGAGGAGAGAGATTCTTGTAAATTTGAATCTCCCTCCAACAAATACTTCTCCAACCATTGGGAACATACAAAGGAGACTGAGAAGAAAGATACATGATTGGATAGCGAAGAGTTGTGCAATTTTAGCTAGCCCTTACATGAAACATAAGCAAAAAGGTGGGCCATTTGGTTATATTGGATATAGCTTGTGTTTCATACTAATATTTATTTGGGAGTGGGAAGAGAAATTTTGTTTGTAAGAAATACTAATATGGATACTCAATATGTTTATTTTTCCTCAGCATTTGGTCCTTGGGGAAGTTTCCTCCTTTATCACGATAGTATAATTTGCTGTGATGATATGGCAAGTTAAGAATCAGATGATGTTATAAAATGGGAGGCATAAATAGGAGGAAGGGAAAAAGGGAGAGAGAGTCAACGAAAGAACTGGGAGGAAGACCTTATCAGTTGAGCCAGATGGCACCTCAACGTATCTGAATTTGGATTTGAATTTGGCAATGCTTAATAAATTATTGTCACGATAAGATTTATGGGATGAGCGTTGATACAATTTTCCCAAATGTAAACCTAGTTCAATATAAATTATAAAGATTTGATATTTTGGTATGTCTAGGACCCATGAAAAGAGATACAAGACAACTGTAAAGCACGTTGTTTGTTAGAGGAAGAATCGAAGATACAAGACTATAAGTGATGTATCGTGGATACTTCCTACTTCAGGTCAACTGCTAAGTCAATAGCGACCATAAAAGCTGCAAGTAATCTTCCCTTTTTTTTTTTTTTTTTTGGTGTTATATATCTTTAAGCCATTTGTTTGATTTGTAATGAATGTTATTCTTCGACGCTCTCTGAGTCTGATCCAGATGAATACTGAGACTCAGAGAAATCTATCACAGCGCCTCTCCGCTCGGCTTTCCCACCGCATACGGCGGCAGCCCCACCAAACAAGCCGCCCTCCGGCAAAGCAGAGGAAGAATTAATGGCGTTTCTGTTGAGGTGATTCTTACATGCCTGCGGCCAGACGATGATGGTTCCTAGTTTTTCTGCCATGGGAAAGTGAGAAATTCAACAATCGAAAGGTAGACTGCAGCATATACACTTGAGATAGAGTAAGGTGAGATTTGTCTCTTTTCCCTAAAGAAATTCAGAACTTGAGATCTATTATGTAAGCCCCCATATCTTCTCTTTTCCCAGAAGAAATTCGGATAAATTTTTATTGGTAATACTTACTTAATAAGTTCACTTATCCATATCCTTTCTGTGATTCTCAGAAAAATAATATAATAACTTTTTTTTTATTAAAATGAGCAAACTTGTTCCACTGGACATGTGCAAATTTTATCTTGGAAAAAGAATTGTTTTTTATATCATTTTTTCATTGACTAACTTTCTCCAGAAACTCTGAAACTTAAGGTTTCCTAATTTTGCAATTCTAAATACCGGAACAATTTTGGAAGGGGCCGTCTGTCTTTTAGACAGTGTTTGGTACCATTGCAGTTGATCACAAAATAAGCATTTACTGCCATGGTGTCTCAATTTTTGTTTGATTGAACTGTTTATCAAAGAAATATTTGTCTTAGATTATGTGAAAAACGTTTATTATGAAACATTAAAAAAATTTTTCTTTGTAATGACAAAATGTTCTCTCACTTTTTGACGTATATAGGGCCTAATGGCACCTAACTGTTATAAAGTGAGAAAAAAGAGTTGTCTCGTTTTTCAAGGCTAATTATCTATAAAAAGTTTTCTCATGGCAATGAAACCAAACGGGCCCTAAGTGAATAAGATTTTAAGGATGACCACAAATTATGTTTGATAGATTACTTTATCTTGAATATTTTATTTATTTAATTATTTTATCCATTAAAAAGCAAAGTAGTAATAAGTCCTTAGGTACAGAACTTCAGCCATTTCCCTTAGAAAAGAAGATAAATTTTTATTTTTTTTTTCTTTTTGTTTTATTTGTTTGTGTTATCATTAGTATTTTATTTATTTATCTCTATTCTTTACCCTCACAAGGGAGTAAGAAAAAAAAAAAAAAAAGTAATTCATCCCCCCAAATCCTAGTGTAGATGGAATTTGATGAATTTCAACTACATGACACGTTAGTTGGCACCTTGCATTTTGTCAAGCAAAATTGCTAGAAAATAACAAATGTGCAGTAGTCCCCAATAAAAAAAGGTTGAGTTAAGGCAGTGGTTATCAAATAAAATAGTTGCCACTTGGAAGTTTCCCTACAGACATGATAAGGTTATGAATGTGTCAATGATAGGGTTGTCAATGGTTATTCCCATTCCAATTATTAATCAGGACAATATCGTATGTTCGAAGGTGAATTCATTATTAAGCCCAATAAGACCTGATTATATTGGCACTTATTGTCAATAATAATGACAATTTAAAGCTCAATTATTCACATTCCAATACAAAGTACAAAACTTTGAATTTTGTATTATCTTGTATCGGGTGGAAAATGGGTGGCTTGGGTTTGGGTTGGGTAAGGGTTGAATATCAACCCATCAACTCATCATGACCCATCATCAATCTTTGTTAAAGGGTTATAACCCACCCATATTGACCTAATTGATCCATCCATATAACCATATTGACCCTTAACATTCCTCACCCATACTAATCCACCTACCCTCACTTATAAGCACAAAAATGGGTTGGGACAGCCCGTATACCCAAAATAATAAATTTTGAGAGAATAATCTCTCTCAAAACTGTCACAAGACAAAAATGAGTTAGGTCAACCTGTATACCCAGAAATGTAAAAATTGTAGATAAATGCAAAAAATAGTAGAACAAAGCAGAAAATGTAAAAAAAAATACACAAAAATTGTACAAAAAATAAAAAATACAAAAAATTAAGAACTTTTGTAGAAAAAATAGAAAATATGCAAAAAATACTAGAAAATTATAAAGAATGCATGTAAAACACAAAAAAAAATACAAAAATTATGTAGAAAAGCACTACAAAATTGTAGAAAATACAGAAAAATACCTGAAATTTTTAGAAAATGTAGAAACATACCAAAAATTGCAAAAAAAAATGAAAAAAAATATCAAAAATAATTAAAGAAAATTACAGAAAATGAAAAAATGCATAACTTTTATAAAAGTGTTTTCGCAAAAGTAATTTTATGGCAGTACTTCTGTAAAATTTCTTTCATAAAAGTACTTTCGTAAAAACACTAAAAGTGCTTTTATGCTTCCATAAAAGTATTGTTATAAAGTGCTTTTGTGTAGAAGTACTTTTGTAAAAGTACTTTTATAAAAGTGATTTTATGATTTCATAAGTGTTTTTATAAAAGTGCTTTCATGTAAAAGTTCTTTCATAAAAGTACTTTTATAAAAGTGATTTTGTGCTTTCGTAAAAGTACTTAATGGGTTACTCAACCCATATTGAGCCACCAATAGATTGGGTGGATATGAGTGGTTCCAAGGTGGGTGGGTCAAAATTGCTAGCCCTACTTGTATGTATTTAAACCATATATATTTGTATTACATACAAAAATTAAGAATAATAAAAATTATTTATTATTATACATATAAAAATGTTTTTATTTTACATCAAAAAATAAAAATTATAAAAAATATTTATTATATATATTTATATATTTATTTGTATATGTATATGTATATGTATGTATGTATTATACTAGACTCACGAGCCAAGCTTCACTGGGCTCGAGCTCGGCTCAATTAACAAACGAACCTATATATATCAGGCTCGAGCTCAATTTAAACCAAACAGGGCTTTTGACAAGCCAATCGGCTCGTGGCCACCCCTGGGGGCGGCTTAAATTGCCATCTCTAGGTCACATTTGTCAGACCAGGGTAGGAGTAAAGTAATGCTTACCAAATTTGAGAAGATGGATAACCTAAAAGCCTTGTTTAGATTGTATAAATGTTCCCATACTTCCCTCATCATTATTATTACAATATTAGGTAATGACCACCCTCTACTAAGTACAAGGTGAATAGGGTGATCATTTTCAACATGGCCCAAGAAAGCAGTGTAGCCTGGATTGAAAATTTTGGGCTAGAATTAGGTTTTGTGTTTAGGTCCACATTCGTTTGTTATTTTATGTTATATTTTATATGTATTTATACTACTATTAAGTGTGAATAAGAGTGTCAAAGTTTTGTTTAGCTAAAATACCTCAATTTTTGAATTTGGTCACTCTCTAATTGTGAAGTCACAAAATGTAACTTGAACTACTACATTTTTCTTCATTCAATTCCTTTTCATTAAGTTTTATATATAGGGTATTAACTACCATTACTTCATTTAATTTAAAGAAAAATAAGTGTGACGAAGAATAATTCTTTTAGTTGATGATAGAAATAAAAAACAGATTGAAAACTAACCCAAAAATGTAATTATTTTCCTGTATGGTGCCAAGTCAATAATTCAATCTTTTATTAAATAATAATAATAATAATAATAATAATAATAATAATAATAATAATAATAATAATTTAAAAATATGAAAACACACAAAACTATAAAAATATAAAAAAAATCGTGGAAAATATTAGGCACGTCTCTAATGTTGTATATTCATCATATTACAAAAAATAAGTATGACAAATAAGAATAATTTTTAAATATAGAAATATAAAAAATTATAAAAATCCTCAGAAACATATTATTTACTATCATAAATAATTGCCACATACAAAACACGTGCACACTTACTAATTTTATATATAAATATTATAATTTGACACATCTAGTACAAATTCAACCATGATACCAGAAAAAAAAAAAAAAAAACTTATAACATATAAACCGGCTTTGTACAAGTGATAACCGATCAGATAGGACCTATCAAAATTCCGGGGGGTATGATTTCTTTCTGGCGGCCTAGTTTTTTCCTATTTTATATTATATGTTGTATAAAATAAATTTTCATGCACATATAATATCATATATATCATGCTGGACTGAACCCGGGCCCAGGCTATAACCTTTTGTCGCAGGTGATAATTCTGGTCCAGGCCTAACCATAACCACCCCTACAACCATGCCTATTATTTTGTTTGAGATTAATCTGATTTTAGATATATACTGACATTTTCTTTCCTTACATGGGGCATATCCTCTTAGAACCGAAGTGGAAATTTTTAGCCCACAATAAACCTACATGCATTTTTAGGTCAACAGATGAACTGATTAATTATTACTTTCATAGTTCATTAAGGTTTCTCTGATTTTTCTGCATTCATCATTTCCTTCTTCTGATGAAGAATGCCTTGTATTGAGGACACAACACTAGCAGAAGGTAGCTCAATTGCATATAAGGCCTTGGTTTAATTTTTATATCATTGAAAAGGAAAATCCCAAATTATATCCCTTCTTTAAAATGTTTTCATGTTTGCAGGATGAATATGATTAAGAAAATAGTTACAGAAAGTAGGCATGGAAGTCATAACAACAGCAACGATGAAGCTGATTTCGCTAAAGGGCAACTTTCTCTGGTTATAATTGGAGGAGATGGAGGGAGAGTAGAGCATGAACCTGCTAAGTCATTGAAGAGCTTGTTAGAGAATCTCAGTTTGAAATCTGATAGCAATGGTCAAACCAATGAAGACTACTGGACTGATTCTTTTGAGAATGTAGGAAGTAGTAGTGCTTCACTGATAGCTAGAAAGGATAGGACAGGTGATAAATATAGAAATGGAAATGGAGAAGGAAACTCTGAAAATGAATGGAAGATGCTATTGACTTCTTACAGAGGGGAGAGCAGCCTTGGGTCTCTAAGTAATGTTCGAGATGTTGAGAGTAGTGTGATTGTAGAAAAAGGACTAAGTGAACAGACTTCCACTGAAATTGAAGAAGAGGGATCCAGCAGACGAAAGCGTTTGGCTAGAATGGATGGCAGTACTAATTTTGAAGTTGCAGACAGTGTTTTGCTAGCTGCTATCAAGAACAAGGTCGAGCTCAGCTCTGCAAGGTCCACTGACTGTTGTATATACAGGATTCCTAACACACTTCGCAAAACCAATGAGAAGGCCTACGTGCCTGAGATAATCTCCATTGGCCCATTTCACCGATGCAAGGAAAACCTGGGAGCCATGGAAGAGCATAAACAGTGGTATCTGAAAGCACTTCTCTCCCGTACAACAGACCCTGATAAAATCTTGGACGACTGCATCAAAGCCATGAGAGCATTAGAAGCAAATGCTCGGAAGTGCTACTCTGAACCCATTGACTACCTCAGCAGTGATGAATTTGTGGAAATGATGTTGGTGGACGGTTGTTTCATGATCGAGCTGTTTTTCAGATATTCAGAGCAACATTTGGAAGAGCAGGAGTGCTTGATGAAAAAGAATGAAGTAAAATTGGATCAGAAGGACCCAATATTCAGTTCTGAAAGGATGCTCCCTACAATACTCAGAGACATGTTATTACTTGAAAATCAACTTCCCTTCTTTGTTCTTGAGTGGTTATTCGACATAATCATTGCTCCTGTCAAACAAAAATCAGTCTCATCCCTTAACCAACTTGTATTCAATTTCTTTGCTAATGTGCTGCCAATGGGTGGAATGAAGTCCAAAGATAGGACCCATCTAAAAGGTGAGCATCTGCTCCACTTATTACGCAGAGGTATTCTGCCCTCATCAGCAATGAGAAAGCCAAGGGACATTCAGGAACCAGAGATAACTCATTGTGTAACAGAACTCAGAGAAGCTGGAGTCAAGTTCAAGAAGAAGGACAAGGCTGATAGCTTCATGGACATAACCTTTAGTAATGGAGTAGTAGAAATTCCTAATTTGAACGTTCAGGACTACACAAATTGCCTTTTCAGAAACTTGATTGCATTCGAGCAGTGTTACCATAGCTGCACCAGTCGGATCACTTCTTATGCGTATCTCATGGATAGCCTCATAGACACTCCTGAGGATGTTCAGTATCTAAAACGAAGAAGAATCATCACGCATCTCATGGGCAACCATGAAGAAGTATCCTTTCTCTTCAACAATCTCTGCAATGGCGTTTACCTCAACCACTTCTACTATGTAGATCTCTGTGAACAAGTTAATGCCCATTTCAGAAGCCGATGGCATACCTGGAGAGCATCCCTGATGCGTGACTACTTTAAAAATCCTTGGGCAGTTCTTTCATTCACTGCTGCAATTCTGCTGCTTGCTCTTACTTTTATAGGTGCTTTGTTCTCTACCCTTTCTTTCTGTCTCCATCACTCATGATGTGTAATGTCATTGGTTTCCTTAATTTCCTCTCCTTTATTATTATTTTTTTTTTTGCTTTTCCTTTGATTTTTATTTTATTTGGGGAGAGGGGATGATCGATGTATCACATTCATTTATATATCATGGTTAGCTCATTCTTAAAATGTTAAATGTTATGTTAGAGTTCCATAACCTGTAGCAAATACTAGTGAAGGCACCATACTTGGACTCTAAATTTTATGTCATAAGGGAATGGAAACATGAGTAACATGGTTGTGATCTTTGATCGCCTCGATGCAGCCTAGGCTTACCGGATGGGTGACCAAAGTGAGTCACACAACAAGGTTTTGCAAGAAAAGAATAGATAATCCAACAAGGAAAGACAAAGGTAAGGAGGGAATGCTTCTTTTCATAATGGATACTAGAAAAAATAAATAAATGATAAGAATTCAAACAAAAAATAAAGGTTTGGCTCTTTTATCCATCATGAGAAGGAGCATTTTTTCATAGCAAACTTTTAGCATATTTATATATTCCTTTGGTTATTCTTAATCTCTATTTTTATATTCATACGAACGTTTCAGGATTAAAGTATAAAAACCTATTCAGGGACTTCACCTAACAGTTTAAGCTTTTAAATTGAACAAGTTTCTTTACAATATTGTACCGAAATTTATTTGACCAAGTGGTTTAGTGTTGGATCCTCCTCGTCTCCATAATTATCTGAAATTATAATACATAATTTTCAATATCTTTAACTGAAATTTTCAAAGTTACTAATAATAATTTATCGATAGATATTAAAATGAATTTGTTAATAAATTAGTAATCTATAGTTATAGTGAATATTTTTCTAATTTTCAATAATCATTAATGATTAGTAATGATAAATAATAAATTTATTAATAGTGACAATGATTTAATAACAATAATTACTTGATTTTTAGTAATTAAGAGATAATAAATGATTAACAATGATTTACTAATCTATTATCAGTATTTAAAAGTTAATAAATATATAGTAAATATCATATATTATTAATTCGACTGGACCGGTTCTAAAAATGAACCAGAGCGGTGTGATAATAATTATAGTAATAATTGATGAATGGATAGTGACAATTAATTAACAATAAATAACAAAATTAATGTAATTAATCAATTTTCCATAATTATCAAATTACTGAAATAAAAGATAATGAATAAAAATTAATTTTAACAAAAAATTATTGAATAACGAAAGTGGTTTTAATAATTACTATCATTATTCTTTAATTATAAATTATTTAAATTATCAATAATTTATATGGGACAACAATAATTGTAATTATTACGTAACAATTGCAGCAGTATGGGATAGGAAAGTAAGTTTTAGAAGCGGGGATTTTTTGTTTGGTTTCCTATTATATCTCCACTCAGAAGTCAGAATTCGTTAATGATTAAGACTTTGGTTGCCTTATTGAAGTGCTAGAATTGGTCGGTCGGGGTAATGGAGCAAGGACGTGACCTGCCTTATTTTAGTATATAGTATATATATATAGACCATGCAAGAACAAGAAAGAGATCGCAATACTGAGAGCCACACGTTTAAATTAGTAATAATAACTATACCAATCACAGATTAATCCTCAGAAGTCGGATTTCTTTCTGGGTTTTCTTCTTTCGTTCCTCTGCTGTTATTCTTGTTCTAATTCCAAGTTGCAATCTGTAAAGAAAAGGCAGAACGGTTCAACTATGGAGTCTCTTCCAGACGATTTGGTGGTGGAGATTCTTGGCCACGTTGCATCGTCATCGCTAAGTGATCTGTTCAATGCAAAATTATCGTAAGAACGTCTCTTTATTGAATTCCACTTCAAATGGGTCTAATAATGAATTTGCACAGAATTGCAGAGGATCTTGATTGCCCAAGTATTAACAGTTTTCGTTGTTGTGCGCTTTAGGTGTTCATCATTTAAAGAACTCGCAGAAGAGAAGTTGATTCTGAGGAGTGTTTCACTTGACACAAAAGCTAGTTGGAAGAACCCCAAGAAGTATGCTAGCTACTTTAGCGATTGTCTCATGGCTGAAAATCCCCATGCTTGCTATCTCCAAGGCTTGGTCTCTCTCTCTCTCTCTCTCTCTCCCCTCCCTCCAACAAATTTGCTAACCATATATATCTTTTTGATTGATGAATTCTTAGGGTGACTACTTCAGTGAGAATCGGATTGATTCGGGTCTTGAGCTATTACAGAAGGCTGTGAGTTTGGGACATCAAGAGGCGACATATTTGTTAGGACTTATATGGTTCAGTTGTGAAGCAACAGAGCTCCAAGGAATACAACTTCTCAACAGATTAGATAATGCTAAGTTCAAGGATGCAAATTTTGAAGAATGTCAACGAAGATTGAAGAAGAATCTGAGGGAAGTGTTTCTGAACAAGAGGTTATGTCGTAGAGTGATTCCATGCACAAAACCTAACTGTAGGAACAATGGAACAAGTGGAGTCTTGAGAAGGGGAGAGTGGACATGGGAAGACAGAAGGGACAACAATAATAGCTTCTGCTGTCAAAGCTGTAAATGGGTTATTGAATTAAATAGGTTCTGTGATGAATTTTTTTAATTACTTATATATATTTGAACTATACTATGTATTTCAATTACTAGACATTTGCATCTATTTGTTTGTAATTGTGGTAGCGTTTGCTTGCAATGCAAACGCAAATATATACACTACATATTTACCTATTTTTCAGTTCATGAATGTAAATACTGTTCACATTTTAAATCATTTTTGCATTCATCTTATTTGTTTGAAATTGGTGTAAAAGTGTGAGTCCATCATTAAATGCTCCAAATATCATATGCTTTAATGTGATCAAAAAGTTAATTATCAAGAGAACACAAAATTCTTTTCAAAAAATAGGTACAATAATGTTTTCTTTTCAGAGTACAAAAGTATCAAAAAATGCATTTTTACTCTGATAATCATTACTTTTTTATGCATCAAATAAACGCTCGTAAACGTGAACTGGAGTACATAAATACCCCGATTTAGTTTTTGTATCGCAAACAAATGGAGCCTATGATTTACACTCTTACTTAATACAAAATTTGTGTATTTTACTTTATTTGCATCATTACTGGTAGTGCAAATTTTGCATATCCAAAAAATTAATGCAAATTTGCTCCACCTTTCTTCTTAACTCTCTCATATAAAGTGGGGATAAAATCATTCACCGTGTCTAGCCCAGCTGTGCATTGGGAACATCTCCCTTGTCATTCAAGTGGAGATGTTCCCAATGTGTGACATCTACGGTGGCTAATTGGGACATGTTGGGAGCAGATTCGATGATCATAGAGAGACTCATTGCTGAAGAAGCTTTGGGTGTAGTTTGTATATATATAATTAAGATTATATTTGGTACCCATATTAGATTTATAAAAGCTTATAGATCCGGTATAGACTTGATTGAATCCATCTTGAACCAAATGAAATCATTCCGGTACAATCCGGGTCATAAGTTAATAAACTGAGCCAAACCTTGATTAAACAAGTGGTAAGCAGTTAGCCAGTGATAAATAAAGGAAGGAATCTGCTACCAATAAAATATTTTCAACTCTGTCTCAACAAATCATCGCAATTTAGGAATGGCAATGGGGCAGTGTGGGGCCAGGTTTTGCCTGCCCCATCTTCGATTCGGAACTCAAATGCTAGTCAATGCGGGTTTGAGGTGGGATGGACAAATACCATATTTACCCATCCCCAGTCATCGCTAGAGTTTTGGATTTTCCCAAACCCCAATCAGGGGTCAAAAGACCTGCCCCCACCAGGGTGGGCCTCATGCCAATGGGTCAAATTGTCATATCTATTGCTGTATTGTAGTTGTATTTTGGAAACATCTCTCTTGTTATTCATGGAAAGTATTTAAGGGATATATATAGAAAGGGTTACCCATTTCCAAATAAGGGAACGTAAGACTTAAATCATCTTTCTCTCTTTCACCCCACACTCCAGCTGAACTATTACCATTTTCCTTAGACCTTCACGAGTTCAAATCAGCCCCCTACTAGATTGTCCCTTACAATGACCTACAGCACATCCCCGCTGTGTATTGAGAACATCTTCTAATAATAATATCATCATTTCTGGGATTATCATCGGAAGATATTTCTAATACATGACGAAAATGTACTGTGGGACATTGTGGGGGGCAATCTTGTGGGGGGGCTGATTTGGTCTCGACCTTCACGGTCCAACCACTGCCTTTGTGGAGTAAACCTTCTAACAATAAGGCTGCTTATTATTGAGACAGCCATGCATACCTTAAAAAATGCATGGGTGGAGAGGGTGTTTGTAGAAACATCAAATTGATATTTCTTGTTTCAGGGGGCTGAAGCCTAATCATTCTACTTGAAGTGACTCTCAAATTTGATGTTACAACACACATCTCTTATCACTCTGTATTGATGGATCAACCCAAAACGTTTAGCTATGGTAGCAAACACAACCTAAGGTGTGACGATCTTGCCGTTTTGAGATTTAAAAGGCCCACGTCTACGACAGCCAGGACCCAAGCCCAGCTGGGTCAAGTTCGTTTGAAGTTTCAGGTTGCAAGTATATATCTTTTGTCATCTAACTCCTTAGGGAAAGGCCCAAAATCATGTACTTCTTTTTTTCTGTTGGAATGAGAAATAAATAGATGAGAGTTGCATAAAACAGCAACGTTTTTAAAAACGATTCAGAAATGGAATCATTCTGACCACTGGTTTTTGGGTCAATGGTCTGATCATCCGGTTCGAATGAACCACCCCATTCTGACAGCAAAATTAAAAATAAAAAAAAATTAAAAAATGACCAAAACCATTGAATGGATCGACAGGTTGACAGTTCAACCGTCCAAGTCAACGATTTATTGACTTTATGGTTTTTAACCAGATTCCAGGTTTGGGGTAAAACAGAATTGGTTGATTGAACGATTCCCAGGCCAAATGGCCCGACCGTCCGAAAACATTGCAAAACAGTATACACCAAACTCAACTCATGACCTTAGATTTATAGCGCCATACACCCTTTAGGTCCCAATGTATTTCTTAACTTGATTGTAGGCAGCGTTAGCATTGCCTAAAAATCTGATAAGCCCAATACCAAAGTAATTATATTCGCAATATAACATGTACACGTGTCTTGCCCAAGTTGTCAAACATAGAATGGACATAAAACTTTTCAGTCATTCGACCATAGGTTGAATAGTCCAATTGTCCGGTTCAGGTGCTCAATTCATCTATATCTATACTAGTACTAGTATAAAAAGTGTAAATAGCTCCCCATAGTTTTTAGAATTTTTCTGATTAAAATACCCCTCTTGTTGAATTCGGCCTTTCTATATTGTGAGGGTAGAAATTGTAATTTGAGTATTGCTTTGTAGTACATTTTATTCTCTCATTAAGTCCCATATTTAAGGCATTATCTCTCATTAAATCCTATATTTAAAATATTTTTGTCTATCATTATTAAATTCTGCTAATCAAAAGGAAACTGGTTTTTCTAGGTGGTAAATAAGTAGTTATAATGTTTAGATCAAACAGGTGAACCATGATACTATAATTAAATACTAAAAATTTAAAAATAGGCAAAAATACATAATAAAAATTAGATTATTTTACGCACATCTTCAATAGTATATATTTGTCATCTTAAACAAAAATATAAGATGTAAAATGAGACCATTTTCCTCTTTGAGTGGTGGGTCAATGGTTAAACCATCCAGATCAATGGATCAACCTACAATGTCATAGTAAAATAATATATCTTTTCTAAAAATAGAAAAAATACAAAAAGTTATAAAAATACACACAAATAGAAAAATTTAGGCATATCTCTAACATTGTATATTAATTCATATTAAAAAAAGTAAGTGTGATATGGGTCAATTGTCCAAGTCAAATGGGTCAATCCATTATTTTACAATTGAATAATTATAAATTTTAAAAAAATATATAAACACAAAAAAATTGTAGAAATTTTGGCCATCTCTAATATTATATAGCCATCATATTAATGAAAATAAGTGTGATAAATAAGAATTATTTTTTATTGATGGTGGAAATGGAATACAGAAAGTAAAATTGTCTTGAAAGAAAAATGTTTTCCATTCAAAGAATGGTTTAGGGATTCAATAGTCTAGGTTAACCCATGATCTCATAATTAAATAATAAAAATTTAAAAAACAATAAAAATACTAAAAGCAATAAAAACAGAAAAGGTTTATAGAAAAATTAAGAGACATCCTTAATATTATACATTCAACACATTATATAAAAAAGAATTGTTTTATTGACAATGAAAATGGAAAAAAATTCAAAAATTAGATAAAAATATAAAAGATTAAAGAATAAATTAAGAAAATATAGACATCTCTTTGATATTATTGTTATTATTACAATTATTATTATCTAAAATTTTCACATGCAACGCATGTGCACATATGTGTGTGTATAAGTATATATAGGTATAAACACATATTTTATCAATAATTAATGTATAATTATGTTCTACATGTAATATATGCATTATTTTGTATTTAATTTATATTTTTTAATTTGGTTTTTAACTTTTTTTGTTTGTAAAAAATGCTAAAAATTGCAATATGGGGACAAAAAAAGGATTTTCTACCAAAAATAATGAGGTAAGGCACCTTTGAAATACATAGATTTCGAAAATCTACCCAAAGTAAAAAAAAAATCACCACCGTCAGACATCTAAGTTTAAAGTTATGGCCTCCTGAAGTTTGCACATGCATTGAGTGTGCAACTCGTGACCTAGTGACTAGGTCAAACAAGCCAATGGTTAAACTGAACCTAGAATCGTGGTTGAGTGATGGTTCAAACAATTCGATCGTTTGGATCAACGACAAGGTGAAAACACAAGGTAAAAGGATTTCCAAAGAGAGTGGAAGTATAGAGGTGGATTAGTTTTCAAACACTGTATTGAAGTTTCTATCTCTAAGTTATTTTAATAAAAAAATATTTTCACAAAATATATTCATTCAGTTGGTTTCATGTTTGATCTATCTAGTTGGTTGGACTTGAAGGGAAAATCCCTTTGAGCCTAAAAGTATTAGATTCATAATGGTTTTTGTAGGTGTTAATATTAAAATTACACTCTTGTCCACATAAAGATATTAAATGGCGTGCATGCCTTCCAATTGAATTGTTTTGATCTTTCAAAAAAATCTTCCTTCTTCTATCAAATAAAATGCAAATACATTCCCTCTATTAAGTTATTTCATAAGAAATGCTTACCTAATGATTTTAAACTTTTTACAATCCCAATTTCACCAATGAGAAGTTTTTTCGATGAAAATTTACCGATTTACCCCAAAAAAGATCATGCATTTAAGATTGTACCTTACTGATTCTTTATTAATGAATTTGATATTGAAACACGCTTTGCTTCTCATCCCCACTTTCATCTTCCCTAGCAAAACCCTAAATCTCAACACCTCTTTTATAGTTACATCCACCACAGAGCTATATCTATCTATCCTACTACTAAAAGTGTGAATGAGAATGTGAAATTTTTATTTGACTAAAATATCCCAATTTTTGAATTTGGTCCCT